CGTTCATTCAGCAAATATTTACGGACCACTGCCCAGTGGATGAAGTTTATCTACTCACAGATGCCAGCCTTTGAGGGTTCTACACGAGAGAAAGAAAGGCCCAAAGGCTTTAATCCTTCCTGAGTATGAAACCGCTAACTCTGGCATGACGGCAGCTCCTGGCTCGGCGTGGCACACAGAGTGCCCCCTCTGCTCCTGTTTAGCTTGGCCTCTTCTTAACGAAGGGCAGTTTGCAAAATCGCTTTCAGGAAACCACTGACATTGGTGAGGGTGCTTCTCAGGCTATTCTTACAGCTTGTGGCAAATTAGAATAGAGAAATAGACCTGATGCATGGGGGTCGGGGGAGGCACTGGGGGCTTGGAGGGTGGGAGAGCCACAGCTCAGCCCCCTCAGGCACCAGCGAGTGTCCGGGGGGCTCGAAGCCCTTCTCAAAGCAAGACTTGACATTCTCGGCTGGCTTACCTGGTGTGTTCAGCAGGGGGCGGTCTCTGCTGTGGTTAAACAGAAAACTACTTAGAGAGGACTCAGAAAGGTTGCCCTGGGACTCTTTCCCGAAGGGTCTTGTGCTCCATGCTAAGGGATCTGAACTTGACTCTGTCAGTGATGACGGGCCACTGGTAGGACTCTAAGCAATGACTGCTTCTGTCAGATGTGTGTCTTAGAAAGTTCGCTCCAGCATGGGAGTGGGCTGGATGTGTGGTGGGGGACTGGAGGACCGCTGCCCAATGAGGAACACTTTGCAGTGATACAGGTGAGAGACCCGGGCCTGGGCTGTCACCAGCTGGGACCCCGTGAACAGTGGCAGAGGCATGGAGGGGAGGGCCGGTGCAGAGGGACATTCGCCAGGACATGGGGACTGATGGTGCAGGGATCAAAGACGGCGAGGAGTAGAAGGTGCCACTGGGATGTCTGGCTGGGCCACCTTGGATGGTGATACTCTTTACTGAGCTGAGGAGGGCAGCGAAAAGGGCAGGTTTGGGAAAATTGAACAACTTAGGTTTCGGACATGCCCCATTTGAGGCACACTCCGGGAAGGGGTTCAGTAGAAACTGATCTCCATATGGGCCTGGAGCTTAGGACGCGGGCAGGTTTGGAGGTAGAGATCAAAGCGTTGCCCCCAAGCAACAATTAGAAGCCATTTAGTGATGAGACATTCCAAGAGATGCATGAAGTTCCAGAGAAGAGGCCACACTGGGCCCTCTAGCATTTAAGAAGAATCATCACCAGCTGGGAAGCCGGGAGAGGCTCAGGAGAGACTTAGGAGCCTTGCCACAAAAAGGCACCCAAGGCCACAAATGACCGCTGTGATGTGAATGCTAGGGGAGCAGCATCGCCCCAGCCCACTCCGTCCCGTTGAAAGGCCAGTCCTCGCTGCTCCCCTTGCCCAGATACCAAGACGCTGCACTGCGGGGCCCTGATCCAACCTGGGGAAGGAAGACCTCCACGAGGCGGCCCTCATCACTTGTCTTTCACGACTGGGTTAGCAAAACAACAGCCAGCCCCAGAGTTTCTTTCAGGTAAAAGCCCTCTTTGTGTGTGTGTGTGTGTGTGTTGGGGGGGGAATACCACCCTATACCTAAATAGCTCGCTTGGGTGCGGAAGGGAGACATTAGCCTGTAAGGAGATGGCAAAGCCAAGGGACCCCTGGGCTCCGTGCCTAAGAAGTCCAAATGGGGCGAAGGCTGAGAGGCAGCAAAGCGGAGGCGGCTGGAGAAAGAAGAGGGGGTGCAACACACATCACAGGGGAAGCCGGAGTGTGCCGAGACAAAGCTGGGGAGAAGGGGCCAAAAGACGTGGAGGCTTCCGATTGCCACGTGTGTTGCTGAGATGCAAACCGCCTCCATTGCCACAAACCTTCAATAAAGGCTGCGCACATGCAAACAGCTCGGTTAGTGGGTTTTGTTTCCTGTTTTGGGGGGGGAATCAAGAAAAACGGGCCAATTCCTGACCTAAGTGGTCAGGTCACTTATTCTGACCTGAGCAGAATTAAATTCCTGAGCAGAACCCAGGGAGGTGAGACGCGGCAGTGAGAACAAGGTTGAGAAAAAGCTCAAGTGGACAAAGCTTCCTGAAGATACTGGGAGGGGCAGTGGTGTCCACCACATTTGGATGGGATGTTGAGGTGAATTATACTTCACAGGACAGGGTGACAGTCCCTCTGCCCCTGATACTTGGGCCACATTTGTTTTGCGTTTTCATGTTGATTAAGAGTATAGGAGATTTGTAGTGCCGTAAAAAAGAAACAGAACTATTGGTTTTTGTTTCACAGCATAGATACTCATTTACTACCATGTTTTATAGTCTATTATCATGACACAACTCTCACAGCCCTTCTTGGAAGGTCAGAATGTTAAACTGTGACATCCTCTGGGCAGGGGGTGGGTATGGATGCTGTAAGGGAGGGGCAGACAGCAGCTTCAGGCCCTGGTTAAGCCTCTTAGGCCCACACACCTATGTGCCGGGGCCTGATTGGATAGTCCTGATATCAATCACGTGATTGATTTGGTCATTCCCGATACAAATCACATGGAGAGGCATGTCCCAAGTGAGAAATGTGGCCTGAGACGAGGGGACTTAGGAAGGCAAAAAAGGAGACTCTAGTCCCCTTGGGCTTTAACAAGAAGGACCAACATGGCTGAGGCTGATGCTATTAGTTGAGTAGGGCTAAACAAACATGGAGCCAAGGGGCAACTCTGATTGGTTGTTGGTGGCTTGCCTGTCGGGAAGAAATTCACAGCTGCATCTGGACTCAAGCATAAAGGGTGCCACGATCGATTAATTTGGTCTGCCATGGGAGTGGGAAGAAGGGGAAGAGACGCGTGTGCCAAGTATTTCCCATCTTTGGGGTAGACAGTAAAAAGAGTGTGTGCATGTGGTGGGAGGAATTACAGGAAGTCTTCCTCTAAGAGAAAGGCAAAATTAAACCCAAGGAGAGGTGACCTGTTTCAATTATTTCTCAACACCTTGAAATGATCCTTCCAGGCATATATCTGGGTGTTCTGAAACCCACAGAATTGAAAGATGGAAGTTTCAAAAAGAAAAGAGTGGTCAGTAGTGCAAAAGCTGTTGAGAGAGCAAAGAATATAAGGGCCAACATGGTTCCCATCTGATTTGGCAACAAGATGCAGAATGTTTGGGGCAAAGGCCAGCCTGCGAGATGTAAGTGGGAGTCGAGGAGAGACAGGCTGCATGGAGCTCTTAAGATGCTGGGCACTGCTGGTGGTGTGGGGAAACCCGGCAGTGCGATATCAACTCTAAGAGGTAAATAAAGGGCCGGCGGAGTGGCACGTTGGTTAGGAGTTGGCTTGGAATGCCAGCTCTGAGCAGCAGGGTCGCCAGTTCGGATCCCGCATGAGGGCCAGTGACACTGCGCCCTCTATAGCTAAGATGGTGAACAACAGCTCGACCTGGAGCTGAGCTGCCGTGAGTCGCCAGCAGCAGGCATGAGCCACCGTGAGAGGCTGTCCAATGGCCGGCGAACGACTGCCTCACCCGGGAAGAGCGCAGTGATAATACCAACATGGGCCAGTGAAGTGACGTCCTCCACAACTAGATGAAGAACAAAAGGACAGGGCCGGCCGAGTGGTGCGATGGTTAAGAACTGGCTTGGGACGCCAGAGGGCCCTGGTTCGGATCCCACAAATGAGGGCCAGTGACACTGCCCTCTACAGCTAAGATGCTGAACAACAGCTCAACCTGGAGCTGGGCTGCCATGAGTGAGTCGCCGGCGACGGCGTAGGCTGCAGCCCCTGTGGCAGTGGGTTGCCATGGGCTACCGTGTGTAGCCAGTAGCCAGCGTGAGCAGCCAGCAGCCGCAGTGAGCAGCTGTCCAGAAGCCGGCGACTGATCTGCCTCGCCCGGGAAGAGCGCAATGATGGTGCCAACTTGGGCCAGTGAAGCAACATCCTCCACAACTAGACTGAAGAACAAAACGACAGCAACTTGTCTGTTCCCCTTCCCCCAATTCCTTAATAAAAATCTTTAAAAAAAAAAGAACAAAGGACAGCAACTTGTCTGTTCCCCTTCCCTGATTCCCCAGTAAAATCTTTAAAAAAAAAAAGGTAAATAAAAAATATCTGCATGCATTATAATCTTAATTATGTACATATTCATAATGTATGCATATATGCCATACATACTGAAAGAAAATGGGAAGGAAATACATGAAAGTCATGGTGAAAATGGGTACAGTTTATTCTTTTCTGTAGTTTCTGAGATCCTTTATAAATGATCATGTGTTATTTTCATCATCAGATAAGAAGCATGGGAATTTATTTTAGTAATAAGCTTGGTTATTTTTTTGTGGGGGGACAGTAAGAAGTAGTCTGGGAAGAGAGTGACCAATCATCCCCGTTTGCCTGGGACTGAGGGGGTTCCCAGGCTGTGGAGCTTTCAGAGCTAAAAACGGGAAAGTCTGGGGAGGCCAGGAGGAGTTGGTCATGCTGGCTGGGAGGCTGAGGCTGATGGAGCATTGAAGAGAGGTGGGGTTTTTTGGGGGGTTGACTGTTGGGGGTAAAGATGCTTTGATCATGTTTGGAGACTGAGATGAGGCCACCATTAGATAGGGAGAGAGGTTAGATTTGTAGGAAGGAGAAAAGAATAATTGCCAGGGTGAGGTCAGCAGGAAAGCAGCTGGGAGAGAGACCCACGCACAAGAGGGCACAAGGCCTGTCACAGGAAGAGAAACCATGTTTATTCTGAGACAGGAGGGCAGGAGGTGAGGGCAAACTGGCTCAAAACGGTTGTTGATGTAGGGGAAGGAGTTGAGAGCATGCACACCTGAGAACCAGGATGTTGGATGAGGCTGAGAAGATCCTAAAATGCCTGGGGGCCCTGAGGACCCTTAGTTGTCTCCCAGACATAGACTTCCCCGAGTGGGTACCCCACACCCTGCTGGAGGGGTGGTGCAACTTCCCCACTGGAGACGGGGTCCCACTGAAAGGCCCAGCATCCCCTCCCAGCTGCCCCCCCACTTGTAGTACTCTCTCTGGCCACCTACCTCTGCAGGAGGGCAGGGGGAAGTCCCACGTGGCACTGTTGTCGGAGCCAGCGTGGCAGGTGAGCACAGCGTGGCCCTCCAGGAAGAAGCCGGGATTGCAGCTGTAGCGGACCTTGTCGCCCAGGTTGAAGGTTGAGCCCTGCTGGATGCCATTGGGCAGCCGCCCGGGGTTCCCACACGTGTGACTGGGCAGCACTGTGAGGAGGGAGAGACACACAGCCTGTGAGCTGGGCTTGAGGCCAGACACCCCGCTTCTGAGCAGCGCCTCCTGGCGCGTCTCCTCCCTGCGTCTCCTTTCTCCTCTGGGAAGGGGTTGGCCCTCTCAAGGCTGCTCAAAGGGTCATGTGCTGAGGAGCAGCCACACCTGCGATTTAGAAGTGAACATGCGGGTTTCTTGCCTTTTCTGTTGCACATCCATCCCATCCCCATCACTCAAGATGCCCCAGGGAAACCACGTGGATCTCGAGAGTTTGGTTGTCCTGATTTCAGACTCCACACTCCTTTTTATAAACACCATGGAAGAGGCAGAGCAGATCATGGAGTAGGTGCTCATGAAACCCGATTTGCTTTCTTTCACGTGTGTCTGTTCTGGCAGCCAGAGGGGTACTTTGGCCCAGGGGCTTTGGGGCCATCGAAGGGGTCATGAGTGCTGGAACAGGCAGTGAGGCAGGAAGACAAGAGCCTGAGCTCTGATCCAATACAATGTACAGTGTGTGACCTGAGACAAAGGCATCACGGCCAGCTGCGCGTGTGCTCTCATGATCAAGAGGAAACGGTCTCGGTGAGGCGGGGAAGCACCATGACCCACCAATCGAGAGGGAGGGAGAGAGGGCACAGCTCCTCTGTGCCTGAGTCACAAACACTCTGACCCAGCTCCTCCTCCCCTCTGCCTTTCTCCAGAGCCTAGGAACTGCCTGTGCCCTGAAGGTCACCTCCCACCATTCCAGGATGTCCGCAAAAGGCAAGGGTGAGGGGTCACAGCCACATGCAGGCTCCCATCCAGGTACATCTCCATTAAATCACCTGGTGATGATTTATTTGAGGCCGGAGAGCAGGGTGGTGCTCAGTACAGACTTGAGAGCCACAGTGCTTGGGTTGGCCTCCCTGCCTGACAGCTCACTACCTGTGGGACCTTGAGCAAGTCTCTCAACCTCTGTGCCTCAGTTTCCCCATTTGTAAGATGGGATCACAAGAGTACTTTCCTCCCTCACGGGGTTGTTGTGAGAATTACATGAGGTAAGGTATGTAAAGTGCATAGGACAGTGCCAGTGAATACAACACAAGTGCAGTGGGACATGTGCATGACTGAAGGTATGCTAGATAGGGACCAGGCAGAGGGCCAAACCTAGTCTGGAGCAGTCAGAGACAGCTTCCTGGAAGAGGTGACATCTATGCGGAACCACGAGAGATTGGTAAGAATTCCTAGCTGGGCCAAAGAGAGCTCCAGGAAGAGGAAATGTGTGCAAAGGCTCTGAGGCTAGAGATAACCTAGGCGCTCAGGGAGCCTGGATTGAGAGGTACAGGTGGCAATGATGAGGAATAGAGGTGAGGAAGTGGAGCTGGCCAGCCTGGATTCTAGAGGGCTTCCCAGGCCCTTGCAGTCCCCTCTTCCTGCCCAGGTTGCCAGGAAGACCCTGGGAGGACCCTTTCTGCCAGCTCAGATGGTCTCTGAACCCGCAGAAAGAAGGCTTTCCCTCCCCCATCTTCTCTCCTTCCAGGTGGAGACAGCTTGGTGTAGAGGGAGAGGATAGACTTTGGAACCAGCTTGATCTGGGTCTGAAACCAGGTGCTGTCACTGTCTTACTCGGTGGTCTTGAGTCATGTGACCTCTCTGAGCTCTAGTTTTCTCAACTGAGAAAAGACAGTAATACCTAGTGGTTGATGAGGTTACTGATAATAAATGATGCATGCCTGGCACTGCCCAGTGCATAACTGACGTTCAGGTGTTATTCCACTGGGCTGCAGAACCATGAGGGCAGGGGCCTGGTCTGGTTCATGGGTGTATTCTGGGAGCCTAACACAGTGCCTGGCACTTGTAGGGACATATTTGTGTGTTCACTAATTAGTTGTTTGGGAGAGTTACTCATTCATATGTTAATTCTTTCATGCCACACAAATTTATTGTGGACCTACCGTGCTTGGAGCTGGGACTATAGCAGTGGACTAGACAAAGCGAGTCCCTGCCTTCAAGCTTATGTTTTCATGATTTATCTTAAGGAAATAAGAGCTCTTCCTTGCCCAGTTCTCTACCTCTGTCAAGTGAGATGACCCAGGTGAAAGAATTTACCTCCATTGACCCTATCCATTAGCTCAGCTTAGCATTACTTACGATCCCACACTGCTGGTTTCCTTGGTGTTTCCCATAATTGGCTGCTGGTTTCCATAATGTTTCCCATGATCCCCCACTGCTGGCTTGCTCAGCATTACCCACGATCCCATGCTGCTGGCTTCCTTGGAGTTTCCCATAATCCCACACTGCTGACTTCCTTGGCATTTTCCATGATACTGTGCTGCTGGCTTGCAGCAGAGGTAGTAACTGTGATGTGTATGTGTTTGTGGGTGTTGGGAGTGAGAACGGTGGGTCAGGTAGACATTTGGAGAAGAAAGCAAGATAAGGTTAGGGGAAGGAGCCAACCAGGGGAAATGGGCTGAGGATTGGTGTAGAACTAACGTTTCATTTTCCACAATGGGACGCAAAGACCCAATTTAATTAAATTACTAATGTCAAATTTTTAATGAACCTGCTTCTGCTTTGGGCTTTCTTCCTTCAAAATTAATGACTGGAACGTCACTATAAATAAAAGTCGATTCTTCTTAAAACGTCACTCTCAAATGCTCACTGCTTTTTACTTAATGAGCTGTTCATAATCAAACCACTCTGACCTGGCACCTCCACCAGGAGTTGGGTGTGATGAATGGGGGTTTGTTTCCAACCCCACCACCCTTTTCATCTGTTCCTGAAAGGCCGTACCGTGAATGGAAAGAGGACAGACGATGGGTTCATAGAGGCCTCTTTAGACATCCACCTCTAACTGAGTGATCTTGAGCTGTAAACTCTACCTCTCTGGGCTTCAATTCTCCATCTGTAAATGTGGATACTTTTTCTTCCCATGGTGAGGCTCTATTAGTTTCCTAGGGCTGCTATTAGTTTCCTAACAAAGTACCACAAACTGGATGACTTAGAATAACAGATATTTACTGTCTCACAGTTATGGAGGCTAGAAGTCCAAAATCAAAGTGTTGGCAGGGCCATGACCTCTCTGAAACTTGTAGAGGTACCCTTCCTTTCCTCTTTTTAGCTTCTGGGGTTTTTCTCGCAACCTTTGGCATTCTTTGGCTGCTAAATGTATCATCCAAAACCTCGTCTTCATATGGCACGCTCCCTCTGTGTCTCTGTGTCCAAATTTCACCTTTTTATAAGGATACTAGTCCTACTGGGTCAAGACATACCCTACTGGCCTCATCTTAACTTCGTCATCTGCAAAGACCCTATTTCCAAATAAGGTCACATTCACAGCTACTGGGGTTTAAGATTTCCACATATTTGGGGAGGGGCACAATTCAGCCTATAACAGGGCTGTCATGCAGATTAAATTAAGTTAGATTTATAATATCCACTATTGAGTGCCTGGTATGTTTTGGGCCCTGGGCTACATGTTTATTTTATTTAATCCTCAAAACCATCCTGCAGGATACCTATTATCTTCATTTTACAGATGGAAAAACTGAGGCACAGAGAGCTTAAGTAACTCACCCAAGGCCACACAGCTATAAAATGGAAGAGCTACGTTGTGGATCTAGGTCTTTCTGGCTCCACCGTTCAGCACTCCTAATTGGAATGAAATACTGCTTCTGACGAGTAACAAAGTGCCCAGCACATAGTGGGTGCTTAATAAACAAGAGTTCCCTTCCTTTCTTGATCATTCTAGGCATTGCGACAAGATGGAGGGTGGTTACCTGACTGTGAGGTTTAATAGCCTGGTTTTTTTCCTCCAGTCTCATTTGCCAATGCTTTACTTTTTAATAACGTCAAGGGCAACATTTAAAGTGTGGTCTTTTGTAATGTGTCTGATGCGCAACTTGCTGGACAGACAGAGGAGATCGGAGATAAACCACAAAGCGAAACCTTTCTAAGGTGCAGTTTTTCTTTGATTTTTCGATTTTGCCTGTGTGTTTCTTGGCACAGATATTATAACCGTTCATGCTCTCTCGTCTATAAAACTTCCCTTTGATTGCTTACAAAATGAAGAGTGGGATATTTACATCCAGCGCGGCCCAGAACAATATTATTAAAGCTGTGCCTGACATTGAACAATTCCATTGTAGATTAGCAGCGGGGAATTTTGTCCCTTCTACAAAGCCTGGCTCTTGCCAATCAACATAATATTCTCAGTGATTGTATGACAATGAAGCTCCTCTGTGGTTGGAGTGCAGCAAAAGCTACATCCTGCCTTCTTTTATTTTTAATTTGAAACTTTAGTTTCCATATTATAATGAAGAGTCGTTTATGCTCTCTGGACAAGCACCCTCCATATGTTTTGATTGCTTATCTTCCATCAAGAAACTTGTTTCGTCTCTATGGCCATACGGTTGGTACAAAATGGAGGGATGTCTGGAGGAAGGATACAAGGAGAAGGATTTAGTTTGCCATGACCCTGAACATGGAAAGAGGAGATGGTGCTACATGTGTGCGTGCATGTGTGAGATGGCGGGGTAGTGGGCACGGTCATAGGAGTAAGGAATAAAAACCACTCTCTTGGGCCGGCTGAGTGGCACGATGGTTAAGAGCTGGCTTGGGATGACAGAGGGCCCCAGTTCGGATCCCACATATGAGGGCCAGTGACACTGCCCTCCACAGCTAAGATGCTGAACAAAAGGACAGCAACTTGTCTGTTCCCCTTCCCCTGATTCCCTAGTGCTGTTCACCTCCCCCAATTCCCCAATAAAATCTTTAAAAAAACAAAACAAAACAAAACAACCACTCTCTTTTGAGTGCCTGCACTGTGACAGGCACGTCTGCATCACCCATTACCTTAGTTAATCCTTATCAACCCCTTACTTTTAGCTCTTCGGCCTTGTACACATAATTTATTGTACATCCTCAGTGTCCAGTGTTTTGTATATCTATCCATCCCCAGAAAGTTTTCTATACTGGCTGTCTCCACTTCCTCCCATCTGACGTGTTGTATATCTGA